CCAACAGACTGAATCTGAACAGTGATGGGCAGCCCAGAAGTCTGTGTTTTCAAGGGCTCCCAGGTGATGCCCAAACACACTGAAGTCTGAGAAAAAGCTGTTAGAAAAACTGATTTAGGAAGACAGGCTAGGGACGGCTCTTCCGAGCAATGGAGATATTCAGTACAATATTGTCGTGATGGCCAGGCACATCTGTCCCAGCGGCTCCAAGAGTGACCCTGAGTGAAAACCATGGCTCTGGGTGACCAGGCCACACAGAGGCACTTTCATATCCTGTGGTAGCACGCTGCTCACTGTGGTGCGCGCCACAGAAGAAGTTGTGCCTGGGGTAGGAAGGAGATCAACATTTCATAGTCTCAATTACTGTCTTACTGTGAGCTTCAACCTGCTCCGAAAAGTAAATCCCGATGGTTTTTAAGAACACGCATGCAGAAAGAAATGTCAGAAGTGACCTCAAACCCATCATTCCGGAAAATCCATCGGCGTTAATGATCTGTGTATATTACTTCTCTGACTTGATCCACGTGGGTCACAGCCACCCTGGTGTCTACACAGAGGGGTGCATACATACAGGTCACAGACATCCTGGTGTCTACCCACAGGGTGCATACATACAGGTCACAGCCACGCTGGTGTCTACCCACAGGGTGCATGCATACACAGTCATCCTGGTGTCTACCTACAGAGGTGCATACGTAGCGGTCACAGCCATGCTGGTGTCTACGCACAGCGTGCATACAGGTCACAGCCACCCTGGTGTCTACCCACAGGGTACATACATACAGGTCACAACCATCCTGGTGTCTACCCACAGGGTACATACAGGTCACAGCCATCCTGGTGTCTACCCACAGGGTACATACAGGTCACAGCCATCCTGGTGTCTACCCAGAGGGGAGCATACATATGAGTCACAGCTGTAGTGGTTTGAACGAGAATGGCCCCTATAAGGTCATATATTCAAATGTTCACTTCCTAGTTGGTGGGCTGATTAAGGACTAAGAGGCCTTGGTGGCCTTGCAGAAGGAGGTGCAACCTTGCTGGGGGTGATGTGGCTTTATAGGAGGAGGCATGACCTTGTTGGAGGAGGTGTGGCCTTGCTGGAGGAGGTGTGGCTTTGTAGAAGGAAGAGGTGAGTCCTTGCAGTGGGTTTTGGCTTTAATCTTTAAAAAACTCACACCAGGCAGAGTCTCTCAGTTCCTCTCCCTCTGCGCAGTTCCCCCCCTCCCCACCATCTTCCCCTGCCTCTGCCTCTGTCTTGTGGTTAAGATAGAAGCTCTCAATGATGGCCCTGGCACCGTGCCTGCCTGCTTGCTGCCACACTCCCTGCCTTGATAGTCAAGGTTTAACCTTGGAAACTGTAAGCAAGCCTTTAATTAGTGCTTCCTTTTCTAAGTTGCCTGTGTTATGATGTCGTGTTTCTTCCCAGCAATAGAAATAAGGCAACTGCTCTTCTTGCTGGCTAAACAGGACACTTCTAGTGTCCCACCGTCGCATAGGGGGCTGCAAGGCCAGCCTTGTACCAGCTCCTCCACGCGCTTAGTTGAGTAGCTACTTTGCAAATCTTATGCCCAGATTGGATGGGCCAAGCTCCACATGGGAGCCAGGCTGGAATGCAACCTTTTTGCTCCCTCTGTCTTCCGTGGTGATTTACACAGTGTCTTAAGTGACTGGGGGCTGAATAGGTCTTAGTTTCTATTGCTGCGACTTAGCACGGGACCAAAATAAAAAAGTTGGGGAGAAAAGGGTTTATTTGGCTTACATTTCAGCACTGCCGTTCATCACTGAAGGAAGTCACAGGACAGGAACTCAAACAGGGCAGGATCCTGGAGACAGGAGCTGATGTCGAGGCCATGGAGGGGAGCTGCTTACTGGCTTGCTCCTCGTGGCTTGCTCAGCCTGCTTTCTTATAGAAACCAGAATTACCAGTCCAGGGATGGCACCACCCACTATGGGCTGAGCCCTTCTCCACTGATCAGTAATTGAGGAAAATGCCTTGCAGCTGATCTCGTGGAGACATTTCCTCAAGTGAGGCTTATGTTAAGTTGACACACAAAACCAGCCAGTACAAATAGGAACGGCCCCCATAGACTTATAGATTTGAATGCTTGGTCACCAGGGAGTGACATTATTAGGAGGCATGGCCTTGTTGGAGTAGGTGTGGCCTTGTTGGAGGAAGTGTGTCACTGGGGTGGGCTTTGAGGTCACAAAAGCTCAGGTCAGGCCTACTGGCTCACTGTCTCTTCCTGCTGGCTGCTGACCCAGATATAGAACTCTCAGCTCCTTCTCCAGCACCATGTCTGCCTGCATGCCACCATGCTTCCTGCCGTGACGATAATGGACTAGACCTCTGAAATTGTAAGCCAACCCCAAGTAAATGCTTTTTTTTTTAAAGAATGCCATGGTCATGGTGTCTCTTCACAGCAATAGAACACTAAGATAGCTTCATGTTTTCTCCACCTTCTCTTCCTCTCCTCTCTCTCTCTGAAAAAAAAAAAAAACCTGCCTACACTTGCCTCCCACTGACTTATTCCCATCCCTTTGCCCTGGGACAGACAGGATTCTGTGAGAAAGAAATAGGTTAAATAAGTAAATAACTCTCCAGTTTCTAAACTACATTCCTGTATTTTTTTCCTCATCTCCCAAGAAAAACTTGTGTATTGCCCTATGGAAAAGTGGCCTGCAATCTTCTCTGTCCCCACTGAGCCCCGAGGCAGGTCTTGTTTTCATCCAACTCAAAAGTTGTAGCAACCGGGAATTGGGGAAGGGCACACCTTGGCCACTTCCTCTTTGTGAAGAGGGAAGACTTGTAGGTTATAACTCAGTGGCAATGCTCCAGCCCCGACACCACAAGGCAGGGGGAGCTACGGAAAGAAAGGTGCCGGCTGTGGAGTCCGGTGTCTGAAGTCCCAGCTCCTGGAAAGCGTAGGTGCTGTAATCACCCTCTGCTGAAGACCTGCCTGGCTACACAGCAAGTTCCATGCTTGCCGGGGGACATAGCAAAACTCAGCCAGATGGGGGAGAGGAAGGGGGGGGAAGATAAGGAAGGTGGGAAAGGGGGAGAAAGGGGGATCAAAGGAGAGACTGAAGCTTGAGGCAGAAGCAGAAGAGACTGGCAGAGGTGGGGTGGGAGGGAGATGGCCGCCTTACAAGGACCACCTTTTACCTGGCTCCACCTTTCCTCGCCTGGAGCGGGGATTATATCAAATACGCTTGACGGGATACACACCAAATTGTGCTTCCAGAAGTCCTCAGGCCTTTTCCGTTTCTTTACAGCCTCAAACAAAATCCCATTTCTGCTGCAGTGGCTGCAGGCCACAATAAATATACCACCAGCAACTTGCAGCTCCTCGTGCTTCTGCACTCCCTGGGCCAAATTTAATCAGAGAGAACAGATTAGCAACCCTCTTCCCTACAAAGGACTCTTTCCTGTGACCAGCTAATTTGGATGCAGGGGAACTCCCAGGGAAATAGCGACATAAGTCTGAAATTGAAAAGGGATCCAAATTCAACCACATACTTTCCATTCCTCTGCAGCAATGACAGTAATAAATGCCAAAGAGTGAGAGAGGGAGGGTGGGGGTGGGGAGAAGGGAAGGGAGGAAGAAGAGAAAGAGAGAGGTGGGGGAGGAAAGAGAGAGGAAGGGAGGGAAAGCGGGGAGAGGGGAAGGGAGGGGGAGAGGGGAGAGGGGAGAGGGGAAGGGAGGGGGAGAGGAAGAGGGGAAGGGGGAAGAAGGAAGGAAGAGAGGAAGGGGAGAGGATAGCAGGAAGGAGGGGGAGAAGGAGGAGAAAAGAAAAGAAAGGGAAGAGATAAAGAGGGGTGGAGATGGGAGAGGAGGGGGTGATAAACAACATTCACCCTGATGGTCTATGTTCACAGGCGTGGTCCTAGCCCCTCCTCCCACTCCACAGACCTCGCCTGCTTTATTTCCTCTTATTACTCCCTCTACAGCGAGACCTTTGAACCGGCTTCCCTGAACCTCCCGGTCTGGGATCTTCTTTGTCATCTAGTAGGGCATCTAGTTGTCAAGCCCACTGAGGGGTCATGGGAACTAATAATCCTCACTTGGTCTCCAGCTCTGACTCTGAGTCCTACGAGAGGGAACTGCGTTCTGATGTTCTCAGGGGCTCAAAGCAGGTTCTTGGGGTCTCCCTACGCCCCTCACCCTGGCCATTTTGTACTGTGACTTGGCACCAACCCCTGACAAGAGATAAATCCACCACTTCCATCACTGCAGAATTAGGTTTGGTCATGTGCATCAGGGCCAGTGGGACACGGCAGAGATGGTACCTGAGGCACCCTGGTTCAAGCAATGGAACAGAGCCCAGGTGGGTACCAGAGGACAGGTCACGCCCCAGGAGACACCAGACAACACTGGACACAGTTTGAGGAGCCATTGTAATCACATAGAAAAGACCAGCAACCCAGTGCCTGTGGGTAAAGGGAGAATCGGGAGATGGCACAGGCTGGTTGAGTGGATGGTTTCAGAGTAGCCGTGCAGGGCAAGGGGCATCTTTGGTTTCAGGAACTCCATGGCCTTTGAATATGCATTTCCTTTGGTTGTAGACATGGATTCTGTTAGATCAAGATGAATAGGGATAACATGAAAATAAAAGAGAGAAGCCAGACCTCGACAGGGTGCCCTCTATCAGAACAGGACAGGCAGCAATCTCTCATCAGGAGTGAAGACTGTGCACCAAGGTGTGGTGTGTGTGTGTGTGTGTTTACACATGTGTGAGCATGTGTGTGTGTATGTGTACGTGTGTGTGCTCATGTGTGTGAAGGTTTTATAGAGAATAAAAGGGAACTTTGGGGGTGAAAGATTCCATCTACAGATCTGTCCCCTGCAGCCTCAAGGTTGTAAATACCAGTGAGGTTAGCATGTTGATCTCAGAAGCTGCTCGTGCTAACCGCCTGCAGAAGATGATAGCAGCAGGCCCGAGATTCTCGGCTCACCTGGGACTTTTAGGTCATTAACCCTTTATGTTGACTTCTGTAGGCCCAGAGATTTGACTTCAAAGGACACTCCAGATTCAGAAATGACCAGCCAAAGTTAGGATGCACCAGAGGCCTGTGTTTGGAGGTGGGTCAGTGTTCATAAAGTCTCAGTGTTCAGACAGAGCCGGGAATACCCAGTTCTGTCCAGAGTCCAGGTAAGTGTTGTTCACGATCTGAAAATCCCGTACTATACACGAAACTTCCCCCACCACACTGCACTGGTCTCCCAGGTGAGTGTGTACACACACCTGTGCACACTTGCAGGCTTGCCCACGCAGGTCCAGGTTCAACAAGCACAACAGCGCTCGTGTGGCCAAGGTACTATTGGTGAGTTACCCACCAGGGACCAGCAGCACCCTGACCAAGTGTTATGGGGGCAGACTCTGAGGGGCAAGCTGGGCTGCACAAGTTTTCCTTGGGGTCCTCGCACACGAGCCCCCCAGGCAGAGTGTTATGAGACACCCTCCTCCTGAGGCTCACATGAAGAACAGACAGGCCACTTCTGGAAGACAGGGGCACTGCCCACAGCTGGGCAGATCCAGATCTAGAGACTGGGAATGGCTCGTCTCCCCACAGGACTCTAGAATACAGTAACTGGTGACAAAGGATGACATTCTATACTGTCCGTCTGTGCCTTGCCGCACTATTCCTGGGGCCCAAGAAAAGACACCTCTATGTACGGTAGATATCTCCATGTGCTGAACTTCATAGCCAGCCTAGGGTCTCTCTACCTCCAGCCATTAGATGGCATTCCTACTTCTGCACCATTGTGCTGGAGGACTTTGCGCCCACACCCAGGGGACCTGCCCCCTCCGTGCTAATGGGCCCATTCACCAGCCCTAAAATCATCTCTCCTCCGTCTGCAGGTGGAGTCCTTGCTCACTCTCCCCTAGGAAGGGGATCTCTTGACTCTGGCTGTCTGAACCTTCTTGGAATTTTCTTTGTGTGCCCTCCAAGCACCTACATGTCAATATAATTTTCTATTCCCCCCCCCATGTCTATTGTCAGTTTATTTTGACAAATTCAATTACCGAAACTTCAAAGGGGACGGGAAAGTCCCCTTCCGCACTCACTGCTAGCTTCTGCTCGGTGCATCAGAACACTGACAAGACCAAACACGTAATTATGTGTTTTTCCTGGACAAGATCTCATTACCCATTTTATGCTGTTGAGAGAAGTGGTGTTGGACTTGAATTGACATGCTCAATTATTTCATTTTTACTCTAATAAGACATAATTAGGGGCTGGAGAGGTGGCTCAGAGATTAAGAGCACCGTGGCCTCATGATCACCGGTAACTCCAGGCGCCATCTTCTGGCCTCCTTGGGCATTGCATCCACAGTGTACTTTCCTACAGGCGCTATCTTCTGGCCTCCTCGGGCACTGTAGTCATAGTGTACTTAAGGCAAACCACTCATGAACATAAAATAAATATAAACAAATCTTAAAAATACACACTTGGGCTGAAGAGATGTCTCAGGTATTAAGAGCACTTGTTCTTGCAGAGGGCCTGGGTTCGATTCCCACATGGGAACTCACAACTATCCATAATTCCAGTTCCAGGGGATCAGATGCCCTCATGGGCACCAGGTACACACACGATTGTTGGGGAACATTAATTTCAGCTGTGTGACTTTTGTTTACTCTACATTTGTCTAACTCTGTGGAGCTGTGTTACTGCACCTGTCTAAAACACCTGATTGGTCTAATAAAGAGCTGAACGGCCAATAGCAAGGCAGGAGCAAGGACAGACAGGGCTGGCAGGCAGAGAGGATAAAAAGAGAACCAAGAACAAGGAGAGGAGGGCATCAGAGGCCAGACACACAGCGACACAGCAAGCCATGGAGGAAGAAGTAAAGAAAAGTCTACAGAAATAGAGAAGGTTAAAAACCCAGAGGCCAAAGGTAGTTGGGAGAATTTAGGTTAAGAAAATCTGGCAAGAAACAAGCCAAGCTAAGGCTGGGCGTTTATAACTAAGAATAAGCCTCTGTGTGTGATTTATTTGGGACCTGGGTGACAGTCCCCCCCCCCAAAAAAAAAAGCCAAAAGAGTAAAATACCTCACACAATATTTTGGCATTCCATCTTGGGCCTCGAAAATCCACCTGGAGCTTGAGAAAGCTGCGGGGGTGGGGGTGGGGGGAACGGCTTCTTTAAGAATGTGCATGCTGGCGAGCCCTTGAGCAGCCAGAATGAAAAGTGTAACAACAACAACAAAAAAAAAGAAATAAAAATGCCTGCCACAGCGCCAACATCCGCATTCTAGAGTTCTAGAAAGGTTTAATGCAGTTCTCGGTCATGAACCTCCAAACAGGCTACCTGCTTTAGGCTTGGTTTTCACGACCTGACCGAGAGTGGGCAGGGCCACTCCATAGATCACCAGGAGGATCCAGGTGTAGCCTAACAGTCGAAGGTTTGCTCCAGTGGTCAAAAAACAAAACAGTAAAAGAGGTCCAGATGGAAAATCCTCTAAACAGGTTCCATTGTGTTTTACAATGTGTGTAGGCTTAAGAAAGAAAGAAAATGGGTAGAGGCAATCATAGAGAGAAATAAGTAGATTAAAAATAATAAAGTGTTTAAAAAGACAGTAAAGTATTATAAAAGGAAAAAGCCATGTAAAGATGGTAAATACACAGGTTGTCTGAATCCTGTATGTTATTGTATTGATTTTGAATTTTTGTATATTGATATAAATTTAAAGTTATTTTTGCTACACTATATATGTGTGTGTTTCTACTCTTCTCTAAAGGGTTTTTTGTATACTGATACCAATTTAAGGTTATCTTTGTTACAACATATTTTATATGTTTTTGCTCTTGTTTAAGGTATTGTACCTGGGCCCGCTGCCTGCCACCACATGGCCCGCTACCACCATTTGGGACCTACAGCATTTCTGCTGCCTACTGCCACAGGAATCTTGCAGCATTTTTTAAAAAAGAATATTAGTACCTATGCAGTTCATTTAAAAATCTAAGATAAAATTCTAGTTTTTAAAAGCTCTGGGTGACTGTCCAGACAGTCAGATGTCTCTGTCATTTCTAGAGTTTTTAGAAGTAATTTGCAATGCACTTTTTGTTTATTTAAATAATATTATATCCTCTGGTGCTTTTGATGGAGTTGAAGACTAGATAGTTATAATTGACATTTTCCTTAAATATGATAGCAAGTAAGTTAGGTATAAAATTTTGGAATTCCTGAGATAGGATAGATTACGGAGTATTTTCTTTAAATTTACCAGACACAAATGAATTGGAATTTCGTATACTGTGAATGAAATCTTTACTTGATAATTGTTCTTTTTGTACATGGTCTTACTATGTTAAAGTTAAATTTTTTCACTTTTGTTTAGAAAGAAAAAGGGGGAAATGTTGGGGAACATTATTTTCAGCTGTGTGACTTTCGTTTACACTGCATCTCTCTAACTCTGTGAAACTGTGTCACTGTACCTACCTAAAACACCTGATGGTCTAATAAAGAGATGAACAGCCAATAGTGAGGCAAGAGCAAGGATAGGTGGGGCTGGCAGGCAGAGAGGATAAAAGGAGAAACTAGGAGAAACAGGAGAACAAGGAGAGGAAGACACCAGGGGCCAGCCATCCAGCTACACAGCAAGTCACAGAGAAAGAAGTAAAGAAAGGCATACAGAAGCAGAGAAAGATAAAAGCCCAGAGGCAAAAGGTAGTTGGGATAATTTAGGTTAAGAAAATCTGGCAAGAAACAAGCCAAGCTAAGTCTTGGTGTTCATAACTAAGAATAAGCCTCTGTGTTTGATTTATCTGGGAGCTGGGTGGTAGTCCCCCCAAAAAGTCAAAAGAGCAAAATATCTCACACAACACATGATACACACACATACATACATACAGATAAAACACCCACACAAATAAAATAAATAATTCCAAGAAAATTGAATACATAATTATAAATAAATGTCAGACAACTTAGGTTGATCCCCTTCTCTGAAGACTTAGTTATAAAAATATCTGAAAACCAAAGCCTTGTTATAGGCCTGGGCACATAGCTCAGTTGGTAGAATGCTGTCCTGGGAGGCACAGTACCCCAAGTTTGATCCCCAGCAGCGTAAAGGGGGCGTGGAAGTATATATCTGAAGTCCTACCACCTCTGAGGTGGAGGCAGGGAGATCAGACATTCAAACTCATTCTTGTCTATGAAGCAAGTTCAAGGCCAGCCTCGAACACCTGGAATCCTGTCTTTAAAAGAATTATCCAGGCATGGTAGCTCATGCTTGTAGTTAAACACTAGAGAAGATGAGGCAGGGGGATTGCTACAAGCTTGAGGCTAGCTTGGGCCACATAGTGTGATGCAGGTTAATCTGGGTCAAAGTGAAGCCCTGTTTCAACAGTAAAGAAAGAAAGGAAAGGAGGGAGGGAGGAAGGAGGAAGGGAGGGAGGAATTCCTAAAGCACCGTGGGTAACTGGGCTGTGTGCGGGAGACCACGTTTGCCTACATTTATCACAACGCATCATTAAAACTATTGTCTTATTATTGCTTATTGTTGTTAGTCTCGTAACTGCCCTAGTTTATGAATTAAATCTTGCCATGCATGTGTAACATAACATACACAGGGTTGGGACTGCCTGAGACTTCAGGCATACGGGGTGGAGCAGTGCCTTGGCATTTGTCTAGGTGAGGTGGTTTCTGTACCACTGTCACTAGAATTCAGTTGGTAAAACTAATCTGAAGGGCTGGGCTGTCTCTCGATGTCTAACGCAACACAGGGCACACTTAACACCGGCTTCCAAACACCGGCTCCTGTTGGTGCAGGAAGCCCCCGCTTCCAGAATCTCTTAAGACTGAATTGTTGTATTTAGCACCGTTGTAGCCATGAACACCAACACAGATGTGTGAGCAGAACTATAGAGTCTCGTCTTTGACTGGGAATCAGTCACCTTCACAATATAGAATCTGATTATATTTATTAGGTGGCCACCAAACCTCAATCAAACAATATTCTGATTCTCCCAAATTTATTACAGTGGTCAGCTGGAAAAATTCTGTAATCATAGACCTTCCTGCTTTCAAATATTCCTATCTAACCTATTCATTGGCGCTTCAGAAATGTCCATTGCAGTTCAGGGACTGGCCACCAGAGGGAAACAGAGTTCCAACTTGAGAAGGGAGCGCCCCTCCTGGTTTGCAGAGGCGAGCTAGGTCTGCACCCCTGCCCTACTCCCCAGGAGCTGCAGTTGAGATTGTCTAGACAAGCGATGCGTGTGGTGGATGACAATTATTAGAAGCTCATTAATTTCCTAAAGTAAGAGCGGTTTTCTCTTATCTATATTTATTGAACAAACTTTGAGTGTCATGCTCAAGAAGAAAGCAAGCTTGCTGGAGTTGCACACAGAATTCTCTTGGGAGTCTCTGTTCCCTTATAAGCACACACGTTCTTTCAAAAATAAAACGCTTACACACCTATAAAATCCAGGCTCCTTCCGAGCTACAAAGCTGCAGAGAGGAATCCACACAGCCAGTGTCGCGTCAAAGCTTCACACTCGAGCAGGTATATCGCTCACACTCTCAGGCAAAGCAGAGGCCAAAGAGCCACAGAGGAGATCATAAGTAATGTCAGCTGGCTCCCAGGAAGTCCCAGCAGGACTGAGAGGAAGGGACGTCCCAGATCACTTGTCTAGTAGTTGAGGGAAAGGGCAGAAGTCACACCAACAAAGAGTGCCTGGAAGTAGCTGCTCTAGATAGCAAAGGCAGAGGCCATAAATTAGACGCTGGGATAACCAAAGACACCCCGGCGGGCACAGAACAGGCGGGCACAGAATACGCGAGCCCCACTGAGCCAGTTCTCCAGGGCCGATGGGGCTAAAACTCAAAAATCTGTCTTCTTCCAGCTCTGAATCCAGACATCCAAAGTCAGCATGTTGGCTGTGTTGATTTCTGCTGAAAGCCTTGCTCTTTGGCTTGTGAAGGAACTGGTGCCTGCATCTGCCTGCAAGCTGAGTTGTGCACACATCTCTGTCCTGTGGGTGAGGGCTCACCATGTGGCCACATTTGATTTTCATCTCCTAAAAACCCTGCCGAGGTGTGGACCTGGTCTGTGCCTCCGGAGTTCCTGGGTTGGATGCCCACATTCTCTCTCTAATCCTCCTCTAGAATATGCCTCCCCTCCCCCACCTCCGCCAACCCAAAGACCACCTTCCAGGAAGCCTCACCTTGGACTGGAACTCCTGTGTCTTCTCTGCAATCCCATCATACTCTTCCAGAACATTCTCCCCCGTGTTATAGTTATTTGTACACATGTCTTGTCGCCGATACCATGCTGAGTCGTTGTAACTGTTGCTTACAAGGCTGTATTTCTTTCTTTGGTAACCTCATAGGAGGCTGCAAACAGTAACTAACATGTGTTAGCCAGCCAGCCATTATCAAAGAGTCTATACTGTGCCCAGCAGGCTTGCCTGGCTTGATTCCTGGCGGTGTGGTCTTGGGCACATTCCTAGCCGCTCTGTGCTTTGGTTTCTTCGTGGATAACATGAGAATAAGAACAACCCTGACCTACTTTAGCTCTGTAAGAAAATAAGTTAGCACGTGTGCATGTCCCTAAGAAACTGTCTGGCGCCTGGTAAATATCAGCATTATTCCTTCTGAAGGCAGATTTCTGCCCAAGTCTAGGAAAAGGCCACTCGATGCTGCAATTATGGACTTTTGCCAGCAGGAGGCGCGTGGTGCGCGGAGATTGCGATCAAATCTCTTCAAGCTGGCGGCTTGTGACGTGAAGGCGAGACTAGAGGTGCACTTAGAAACATCTAGAAAACCTGCCAATATAAAGGTCCCTCTAAGAGGGCGTTTGTCAAGGTCTTCACCTACCACTGTTCAGAAAGAACAAGGGACCACTGAGGTAGAGAGGTGAAGGGAGGGAGTGGAAGGAGGCCCTGGGCAGGGGAAGAAGGGGGAGGGTCTGCAGCTGGGAGGCACATGATTCTAGGCCACATCACATCGGGGGATCTTGTCCTCTTGGTGCCGCTCGGCCAAAGCAGTCATCTCTTATCCCCTGGGACCCAAACATCCCTTGTCTATTCCCAGCCTCCCCACCATACTGCCGTCTCTGGGAGGCCAGTGGGCCTCCTCCAGGAAGCCCTTCCAGACCTCTCTAGAGCACTCAGCCTCTCTCCGTGGCCTCTCTCCAGTCAGCTACCCTCTCCAGTCTCTGTAGACCACAGAGCCGAGTGATTCCTAGCCTCTGTCTCCGTCAGTCTAGCTAATCTCTTAACCACTCCACTAGTTCACAGACAGAAACTGTGTGTATTAAAAACAACAAACAAACTGCTGTGGGCCAGGCTGGCTCTGGAAACTGAAGGAGAGGACCCAGTCCTTGCCCTTATGGGACACACTATCCAGGGCAAGCACCCCAATGTGACTTTAGAAACAACACTGCCCACACATTTCTATAAACAAAGAAGCAGGAATATTTTGAGTCGCAAGAAAGGGATAATTCCTCTTCACCCACCTCCCTAAATTGTCTCCTAGTTGGTCCCTCATGGTTTCTTTTCCTTTCATGAGAAATTAAAGTCTCACAAAAGATGTGATTCAGAAAACTGGCTGTCTCTGACAGGAGCAAGACCATGCAAGGAGAGAACGCAGCCATCCAGTTCACAGGTGCTAGGAGTCAATGTCTGGGGAAGCTGAGTGATGCCGCTGGGCTCACAGCCAGACCCGAGGATCCTGAGGATCCTGCGGCACCCCTCGGCTCCGCGGCACCCCTCGCTCCGGGTTCCCCTTATGTCCTCTACAGCCAGGGCACCAGCCAGAGCCCTCCTCGTGTTTATCCTGTAGTTCAAGGTAGCATAAGAAGACGGAGAACTTCTGTCTTACTGTGAACCGGAAAACCATTCCCTCCAGAGCCTCTGCTTAGGGCAATGGAACCAAACCGCAGCTCAGCCTGCCCCCTCCCCAGGTGGCAAATCAGCTTCTTAGCAAAGAGCAGAGAGTGAGGCCAGCAAGAGTTCAGCGAACCTTCCAAACTCGCCCCATAAAGGTAGCAAGCAGCAGCTGGGCGTGGTGGTACACACCTTTAGTCCCAGCACCGGAGGCAGAGGTAGGCAGATCTCTGAGTTCAAGGCCAGCCTGCTCCACAGAGTGAATTCCAGGACAGCCAGGGTCACACAAAGAAATCCCGTCTAGACAAACCAAGATAGATAGATAGATGGGTGAATGGATGGATGGATGGATGGATAGACAGACAGACAGATATATAGAGGTGTGCTATCCTTTATCTCTCGTGGGGAAAGATTAAGTCATCAGTCTGAAGGGACACATAAACAGGAGCTTCAAAGCAAGGACTGAGTAGGACAGCAGGTGGCGACCTGTCGCCACCCTGGCTCAGACCCCAGGAAAAGAATGACAGCTAACAAAGCTATGGGAGTGACACCACCAAGTCACCTGACCACCCTGGGTGCTACACACACACACACACACGTTACTGTATGTGGTGTAGTATGCGATCGGAGTCAATATGAATATTTAAGATCAGAATCGAAGAACCTGTGAAGGTCAACGATCAAGGGAAATGAGGATCTTGGCAAATCGTAGCCCAGGACGCTGACATAGCTTGTGATTTGTTGCTATGGGTGCTTCTGACCTGGTACACTCGTGACACTTCTCCATCCACCCCCAAGCAGACATCCATGACCTGTCCAAGTGCTAGGGTCTCATCCGTCAACATGCTTATTCTGATTTAGGCTAACTCCCTGCCGGCTGTGTAGGAGGAGAGGTTCCTGAGTGTTGTTTGGACACGCTTTGCATAGATGATCTGATGGGGTTGTTCACTGAGTTACCTGGGTACTTAGGACACTGTGAGGACAGAGTCCAAAAAGAAACCATTGAACATAAGCAAAAATGCCACAAAAGCAACGAGAATCAACCTGAGAAATTCTTCTCAGCAGATTGGCCTAAAAGTGTTCCACCTGTCCCAAGCAGCACAGATGTTTGCCCTGACCTCCAGGCATTCAGCACAGGCAGGACAGATGCAGTCATCCACACAGAGCTCACTATTTCCCCAGAGTTTGCCTAAGCAGGGATCCATTGGCTACTATCCCAATAAGGCCCTGGACAGTGGGTCACTCAGACCGTGAGAAACTCGGGCACCTGGTCTTGACACTACCAAATTATTTGCATAGACTGGAGTGCAATGAAGTGAAAATAGCAAGGCTGTGGGACCAAGAAGGACGCAGATGCTGCTCCGGGCAGTGGAGAGCTCTGAGAAATTCAGAGTGGCTTCAGAAAGGGGGGGGTGCCTAGGATTACACGGCAACCCTGCCTACCCTAGGGCTTCTCTCAAAGCCCCATTCCAGGTTGCCACGGACACAGGTTCATGTC